CAAGGTAAAAACCAGCACTGACCACAAATTTCATACAACATTTTGGAGCCCAACCGCGAGGCTTGTTATCATCGACAAATACAAGTTTCCAACCATGGTCATCACCAGATAGTATCTACCAAGAAAATAAAATCATAAAAGTAACAATAAAGGACATTTCCCATTGAAAGGATACATATATAAATAGGTATTATTACCCTCTATTTTTAGGCAACATTCACAAGCATAGAGGAAAAATATCTTGTATGTAAATGTTAACATAGTACATAATAATTTTACTTTTTTATGGTATTCATGATAAACAGGTCAGTGAAAGAAACAATGGTTCACATTCCCACCTGCGTTGAAACTTCTTGTTCAATATGGCCTCGAATGCCCCATATCTGTTGGAACTGCACTCTCATCTCATTAAAAGTTTCCGTAATAACAGCAATGAAAACATTTTTCACGAGCCATGAGAGGAAGAATATCATGGTAGTGAAGAAGAATGTTGCTCTCCATCCTGGTAATGAATCTATGGCTCTGTACATGATGAACACCCAACCTTCTTGCGAGGCAGCTTGATAAACAGTGAAAATACTGGTAGCTGAAAGACAATTAAATATCATTTATTTTGTATCTAGTGATTCTACATACAGCCATCAGCAGTTTTAATACTCACTTTCTTTACCTAAGAAAGTAAAAATCATGAAATCTGCTTACCAATGTTATCAAATCCATTGAAGCCACTAACTTTCTTTGCAAGCTCAAGGGGAGCACATATCATGCCCTCTGGACACTGATAACCTGAGTCTGGTTCAGTGGAGCAAAATGTGTCAGGAATGGCCAGGTTGTTCAGGGTAATCTGCCTGCTGTTGAAGATAATAAGAGAGAAAATAATGTATTTTTATTCAACTCAATGAAATGTCAAGATACATCAAATCTTCAAAGCTTGGGAACTTCTGTTCCTTTTGGATTTTTTTTTTTTCTAAGTTACAATACTGTACCTAATTTGGACTTACTTTATATCAGTGCCATTTTTGACACAGTGATTCCTCAGTTCTCCAAACAGCTGGACACCAAGGAGACCATATAATGACATAAAGAACAAGAAGAATAAAGTCACATTGTAGATCTGTTGACTCGATCGCCTGGAAAACATAATATAAACATTAACAAAAGAAGTGAAACTTCTCTGCTATTCTCACAACATATGTCCATATATATATGTACATATATATATGAGTACATATGCATATATATACATATATGCATATATGTACCATACATATGTGCGTATGTGTGTATGTGTGTGTGCGTGTGTATGTGTGTGTATGTGTGTGTGTGTATGTGTATATATATATACTTACATACATACATAAATCTATCCATACACAAACATACATACATACATAAATACATACATATATACATTGATATATATATATATATATATATATATATATATATATATATATATATATATATATATATATATATATATATATATTAATATATTTACATTTATATCTATATCTATCCATCTATCTATCTAATCTATCTATCTATCTATCTCTATATATATATATATATATATATATATATATATATATATATATATATATATATATATATATATATATATATACATACAATTCAATAGTTTACTTACTTGACAATTTGATTAAGTCTTTGTTTGGGCATAGAAGACTTGAGGAAGATACGTATGAGCCGGACAACAATGAGTGGTCTAGGAGCTCGAAGAACTGACAGATAGCTATGTTTGTTTACCCACTCTGTCATTATTTCAAACATTTGAAGAATTACTGACATCCAAAGGAAGAAAACCATACTTGCATCATACTGACACCAGCGATCCTTAAGATATGGTACTTCACCCTGTAAAAAGGGAATGTTGTGAAAACTGGATAATGTATTAATGGCATAACTGAATTGATACATTTAGTTACACTATAAATCATTCATAATGAATGAAAAAGAAAAAAGGGAAGAAAGTAAAGGAAAATCAGAAAGATTGGAGAGAAAGGAGTGAGGAGAAAGAGAGACAGAGGATCAGTCTTACAGACCAACAGACCAACAGAGTGACAGACAGACAGACAAAGAAAAAAAGAGAAAGAAAGAGAAGAAGAGAGAGAGAGAGAGAGAGAGAGAGAGAGAGAGAGAGAGAGAGAGAGAGAGAGAGAGAGAGAGAGAGAGAGAGAAGAGAGAAGAGAGAGAGAGAGAGAGAGAGAGAGAGAGAGAGAGAGAACCAGAGACAGAGAGAGAGAGCAGTGGTGACTTACCTTTAAAATGCCACGAGCTTGCATTTTGGCTATCATCTCTGCAGTAAAAAGAAAGGTAATAACAAGATCTGCACAAAACGTAATATAACTTAAACTTGGATATAGCTCCTTTGAGCGAGGAGTGTTTGCTGATACAGATACCAGGGACACCAGAGAACAAACGCGAAGCAGCCATCGCACCCATGCCTGTAAATATAAATTTTGTCAAACAGTTATAAGGGCTTCACGCATAACCTTACTAAGCAATTCTTAAAGCATAACAGTCTTCTATATAATTAAATATACAATACTTACTTTGTTAACCCATTCAATATCTGAACTTTCATTAAGAGTTTCATCAGGTCCATAATCTGTGAGGATGGGTTCCCCCCTAAGGCTCTGCTTCCGCCCCAACATCTTGTTCAGGTTATAGTAGGTACTGGTAAAATGTCCATTCCCTTCATATTCTGAAATAAACATATCACTGTTAATTTTTTTTTTTTTTTATTAAGCAAGTAAATAAAGTTTTTTTTAGCCTTTTGAAAGTTCTAGACTTATCACTTCTTTCTAAGTGTACTGTTCCAGACCTCTTACTTTCAATGTTTTTTCACTTTATAATCTCCCTTAAATTCACTAGAATTAGCATCTGCTAATAACCAATACTAACTTCATAATAATATTCATAACATTTAACTCAAGTACAGATTATAAGTAAAGACACATCTTGACATTAACCATTTGACTGTGTTAGGCAATCATAGTTGCAAAGTTAAATTATTATTCATGAGGCATTGGGCAGCTTAGTTCATGGCCACTGAAAAACACTCTTGTGTTACCTGATAATGGGTCTACATGCCCTACAGTCTGTTTTGCCCTGGAGGTGCCGCCATCTCAGTCCCTCCCTTTTACAGTTAAACATGAAATCTTTACCAAGATTCCCAACAAGAAAAGCAGCAAGAGTTTACATTAGCATTTTCATCTTTTTGCTACTTCAAATACATAGACTGTGGTCAAATGGTTAATTCCTCTTAATCAGTTCAATTAAACTAATCTGAGCTATTATCAGTAGCATCTGCTACTATTAATCAGTCTTTGTTATAATTATTGACTTCAGATGTAGTTAAACAAAAAAATATCAGTTATAATGAATGAAGTGGGTGTAGGTAAAAGCGCAAGTGACAGTGTGAGTGTACATGGTGTAAGCAAGAGTGTGTGTGTGTGGGTATGAAAGTGAGGGTATTGGTGAGGGTGTGAGTGAGGGTATGTATGTGAGAGGGTGTAAAATATAGGTGCAAATGTAAACAAATATATAAGCGTGTGCTTGAGTTTGGGTGCATAGGTGTGGGAGAGTCTGTGTCTTAATTAATTCAGTACCACATATCAATCAATTAAACTGTGTTCTATAATTCTATCCATTTCAAAAAAAAGTATTCATTCATCCTCAGATGTAATTAAAATAGAAAAGATCAGCTGCAGGGAAATACCTAGGTGGGTGTAGTCCGCCTAGATGAAGCTAAAAATGAAGGAGACAGTATGGATGTGATTATAAGTATCAGTATAGGCATAGATATGGGTATGCTTGTGGGTATGGGTTTGAGTGTGGATGTGGGTGTGAGTGTGGAAGTAGGAGTAGGAGTGGGAGTAAGAGTGAGAGTAAGAGTAAGAGTAAGAGTAAGAGTAAGAGTAAGAGTAAGAGTAAGAGTAAGAGTAAGAGTAAGAGTAAGAGTAAGAGTGAGAGTGAGAGAGTGAGAGAGAGTGAGAGTGAGAGAGAGTGAGAGAGTGAGAGTGAGAGTGAGAGTGAGTGAGAGTGAGAGAAAGTGAGAGTGATAGTGAGAGTGAGCATGAGAGTGAGAGTGAGCATGAGTGTGGGCGTGAGCGTGGGCGTGGGAGTGGGTGTGGGTGTAGGTGTGTGCAGTTTGGGTGTATGCAGGCTATGATGTGGGTGTGTTTGAGTGTGTGGGAGAACGTGTGGGTGTTGGTGGGCATAATAGTGTGTCTGTACAAATATATGTGTATGTGTGAACATATAGGTTGTTTCGACCCATGTGTAAATACATACAAGTGGATTTGTAAATACCTAAGTGACTTCATGTCTGTTGGTGTTCATTCTTGTTCAACTGTTACCATCTTTCGTGTAGGTGTGGAAAAAAATATCATACATCACCATCGAGAAAGCGACTAATGTTTCTTCACCTGGACACATTTTCATTTTCCAAAATCTTTATAATGCTACTAGATATTGAATACAAAGGCAAGTATTTAGTAACTGTTCTAAAGAGAAAGACAACTTGCCTTATACTCCAATTTGAGAGCTAAGTGATAGGTTTTCTGTCATCAGCACTTTACTACCCGGACTACAAACATGGGAGCTCTGATGCTAGAGTCACTACAGATATACCTAAATATCCAACAGTTTCAACAAGAACTTGCAACTTACTCTTCCTTGTCGTCGAAACAGATATATAGGCCTCACAGGGCCTAATAAAGATAACAACTTTGCAGATGACACTTCCCCTTCCTCTCCACCTGTGGAGGATGCGCCAATCATCTGAGCGACTAGATCGCGCACGCCCAGATTCACGCAGAGCGAGAGAGAGAGAGAGAGCGAGAGAGAGTGAGCAGAGAGAGAGAGAGAGAGAGAGAGAGAGAGAGAGAGAGAGAGAGAGAGAGAGAGAGAGAGAGAGAGAGAGAGAGAGAGAGAGAGAGAGAGAGAGAGAGAGAGAGAGAGTAGAGAGAGAGAGAGAGAGAGAGAGAGAGAGACAGACAGACAAGCAGGTAGACAGGTAGACAGATTACTTCATAAGTTTACAACTTTGTTGTCTTGTTCATTGAAAGATTTTTTCCTTTTAGTCGTTTTTTAAAGTTTACCAGTGTGTCGTGAGTACCAACGCTAGATATGTATATTAGGGAATGTGTCCATATACAGGATAAGATCCAATACGAAGAAAAGTTTAGGGCATGTCATAAAAGTGTATTAGAGTACGTCATGGGTGTGCGAGTGTGCGTTTATTGTATGCGTGAGCAAGGTCTATAAAGTACTTATGTAGACCTTGTGCGTGAGTATTCTGCGTGTCGCGAAGTGGGTATCGTCCAGCAAAACAGCCTGCAAATTATCAAAAAGACAAGTGTAAGCCGTAGGAGTATATCAAGAATGCGAGCATGTATTAGAGTGGCGTGAAAGTGTATCAGAGTATGTCGTGACTGTGTTCCAACTTTGCATATGTATGAGTGTCTGAGAATGTGCTATTTTATGCAATACAATCTAAAATCTTATAGAACAAACGAGAAATATATGTCATAAGAGTGTATAGAGTGCGTCGTGGGTGTGACAGTGTGTGTTAGGGTATGCGTGACTGTTCAGCGTGTCGACTGCTAGTGGGTATCGTTCAGCAAAACAGTCAGAAAGTCTACAGATTATCAAAAAAAGTATATCAAGAATGTGATAGTGATGGAGTGTGGCGTTAGAGTGTATCAGAGTGTGTCGTGAGGGTGTTCCAACTTCGCTTATGTATGAGTGTCAGGGAATGTGTTTTTTTATGCAATACAATCTAAAATCCTATAAAACAAACGAGAAATATATGTCATAAGAGTGTACAGAGTGCGTCGTGGGTGTGACAGTGTTAGTGTATGCGTGACTGCTCAGCGTGTCGAGTGCGAGTGGGTATCGTCCAGCAAAACAGTCAGACAGTCTACATATTATCAAAATAAAGAGTGTATCAAGAATGTGAAAGTGCTAGAGTGTGGCGTTGAGTGTTTAAGAGTGTGTCGTGAGTATGAGAGTGTGTGCGTGAGTGACCGTGAGCGCCGAGTGTGTGATCCCTGAGAGAGAAACAGGATGCAGGCAGTGACGCACGAAAGACAGAATCAACCCGGATTTCCTTCAAAATATTTTCGTTGCTGAAAAAAATTCCTGTGAAAAAGAGCACGGAAAAGTGAGATGTTGTACAGTTCTCTAGGTTACGAAATCGAGAGAGCTGCTTGTGGTTTTATTCTTATGTTTTTCTTTAAGATTCCATGTAGTGCAAATGGATAGGGTGTCTTTCCACGACAATCCTCAATGTCAAAACATTTGCAGTTGTAGTAATGATCCCAAGCTACTAATATGTAGTTATGAGATGTAGGTAAAGAGTGACAAGTGTTTATCTGCTGCCATTACACCCTGAAAGGACACTCAGCTGGTGTTACTGAGTGGTGCTTGTCTAGACAGTAGGGGTTAATGACACTAATTAGCCTCAGATGAAGAAATATACATATCAGGCTTCTGCAATTTAACCCAGACTGGCGGTCAAAACGAGACTTCTTTTCTAAATTATATTAACTAAGGCTTTTTTCTGAATTATATTAGTTGAGACTTTTTTCTAAATTATTTGCTAAGACTTTGTTCTAAGTTGTATTAACTACGGCCTTTCGAAATCCACATGATATTTGCTGTGATTTGCTTATGCTTTGTTCGGAACTCCTCGCCTTGCTCATCTAGACACCTTGTCAGGACCAGCAGGACAACAAGGCAGTGTTCGAAACCCCTTAGGCCTTCGCTGCCCAGAGTGCAATGGACTTGAAAGTAAACATTCACTCATGATAACTGTGTCATTACTTTACATTTTGCATAAATATTGTAACTCCTTTGATGCATGTATAACTTACTTACAACTGACAAACATAAAAATATCCTTTGATAACAGCAATATAGGGCAAATAAAAGTACCCATTAATATTTTGTGGTTGCCTGTAACTGTCGTTGTTTATATACAAATGCTATTGTGATGTCATCTGCTCATCCAGCTGCGAAGGAGGGCGTGACAGACGAGATGTACAACTTGTCCCGATAAGCACGATGAGGAATTCCGAACTCAGCATTACAATCTTAATTTCAACCAAATAACATCAAAGTGTCAAGTGATTTTCGTGACTGCTGCCCTTTTTGTCATTCTAGGAAATAGCACTATGTATTTTCTGGCCTACTAGTGCTTATTTAGTTAGAATTTATGAAATTATGACATATAAAAGTAGTACATGCACAAGGGTCTATGATATACAAAAACTTAAAGGTCACAGAAATTTCAGAACCAGTGATATCTAAGCAGTAATTTGGAATCATTCTGTATGTTAAGATCAGATAAAAAAAACTTCCTTGAACCTTATTGTCTATTTTTTATATCAGTGAAATCAATTAATAGCTAGGTCAACTAATTTACGTGGCAAGTTTTTTGACATCTGTAAGTTTGTCAGAAAAATTTCCTGCAGAACAAGGCCAAGGACATGACTACCAGTTATTTGATAAGCTGGGCTATGTTTCTGTAACTATATTATCTTAAAAAGCTTTTTAAACTAGACTAAGAGACCATAACAAAGCTCAATAAAGTTTCACAGCTTATAATCTTCAAAGATAAAGCTTGAACTGGTTCTTTATTTTTTCAACCAAATTACCAGAGAGCTCTATAAAAGCAGGCCAAGTTCTACACTTTTTATAATGTTAAAAGGGGGGAATCACTTGTCCCATAGAGTCATAGATTGCATCTCTTCAAGAGAGTAATATGTGATATACAGAAATTTGTGAATGATTCAGGGAACAGTGTTAAAACCATTTAATGAGATTCTTCATAAGATTTAGACTGAAGTTATGTGTACATGTAATTTCCTGTGATTTTCATGAATATATTTAAGTGTACCGTGACTCATTAATATGAGAGTTAAGATATCCTATTTAACACTTATGTCATGTTGTTTATTGTATTAATCAACATAGAAGTGCTGCTATATATTTCAAAAGACTTTTGCTGATTGGCACCCATGTATAGTCTCTTCTAATGAAAAAAATCACTTTAATTACTTTTAGGGTAGGCATAAGCATTATCGCAATTAACCACATCAGCACTTCATTATTAGTTATTATTTTTTTAATTATCTGTATTGTCAGATATTTGGTATGTTTGATTTTGCTGCATTTAATGGCATTACGTTTTATGATACAGTGATCTTAGTTTGGAATAACTTAAAGAATTCCATTCCTCAGGAAGATGGCTTCCTCTACCTCTCGGTCTGAAGTTGATGAGGACAGATATTTTTTTCATAAAATCACCAGTGAAGAAGCAAATGAGATCCTTGCAAGAGGTAAGTTTTAGTATATTGAAACTCGAGGAAATGCAGAATACCTCAAAATAGCTATTGTATTACTGATGATATAATAAAACAGAAAAGCACTGTTAATAGATTAGAAATTATTTTATGTACAGTTTGGTACAGTACAGTTTAATTCAGTATATTAATTTTTAGTCTTCTGTAATTCAATGTTACTGATTATTTAGAAATAAGTGCAGTATAGATATTAGTTTCATTCATTTTAATTTGCTAATTATATGCTTGATATTGTTTCATGGATGATAATAGCAGATATATTTATGGTACAGAAGGAGGTGAAGAAGGGACATTCCTGGTACGAGAAAGTTGTTCATCTCCTGGAAATTATGTTCTGTCGTTCATCACAGAGGGGCAGCCTATTCACATTCTAATTCAAAAATACAGAGAAGATGCATTCTTCTCTTTAGGTGAGTGAAACCTTTTGATCAGTTTGTAAGTTGATCTTTTGTTTTTCAGCAGCATTAATGGATTGTATATTATATATGAAATAATGTGAATCGACTTTATGTGTATATATTAAAGGTATAGTATACACATATTCATAAGGTTATTCTTTACTTCACAGTCATTGATGAAGAAACACAAGTATTTCATGGATTAGATAGTTTGGTGAACCATTACTGCCAGAACCCTGTAGGCCACTCAAGCACAGTACTAACACATCCTTGTTGCGGTGAATTGCTGCCTTCCGAAGTCCGACTTCATGGCTCCTCCAGTCTCCTTCACAGATCCACAAGCCAAGGTAACAATAAGCTACTGTACAGTTTAAACATAGGGGAATAGTGAGACAGGATTCTTACATGGCTTGTACTGAGATAATTCAGGTTTTAATGTTGAATACTTTATGATATCCAATTTAAGTTTTGATTATAAACCTTTTCGGTGGGAAAATGTTAAAGTTTGAAATATCCATTATTATATAGTATACAAAATTATATTTCAGTAGATATTGAATAAGGAAAATTAGAAGTTTGGTATTTTCATACGACTGAAGTTATTTATTGTAATAAAAATATTGTTTTGCATTCGACATCTTAAAAGAATTCATTTTTAAGGGATTCAGAAAGATATGGAATTGTATTATTATTGCTATTATGCCTGAAGTTTAAAACAAAATTTTGTCTCAATTATTTTTTCTTCTTCTTCTTCTTCTTCTCTTTTCTTCTTCTTCTCTTCTTCTTCTTCTTTCTATATAACTAGGACCCATTTTACTGAATATCTTTATCATTTGTATAAATTATATGTCATTTATGTATTTCTGCTTTACTTCATATTTTCTTTTTCTTCATATTTCGAGACTGCATGCTTATAAAATGTCACAAACAGGGAGAACTCTTAAATTAGGCCCAAATTCCAATGATATTGAAGTAATACAAATAATAAACATCATCACAGGACCAGTGATACTATTAGGCAGTATGATGTATGTAGGAAGTAGAAGCTTAATACATTAGGCAATTCATTTGCCAGTTGGTAACAATAGGTTCCTTTTTTCTAACATATCACAAACAGATATTCAAGGCAGAATAAAGAAAAAAATCACTTTACCTCAGGTTTTGTGAGGTGTGTCCACATGAATTTCTGTATTTGTTTACAAGAAACAACACTGATATACATCCATGTACTTCCACATTGATTGGAATTTCACTTGACTATACTTCTTTTGAACATAAACCTCCTATGGTTTGGGTGGAAAAGCAAATATATCATTACCTGTCTCACTGAAGTGCTTTATTGAGATT